TATACTTGGGGCACGCGATAGCATAGTTAGTTGAGGCACTATGCTACAATCCGGGAAGTCGCGGGTTCGAATCCCGATGAGTTGGATCTTTTCAATTGAGCTAATCCTTCCAGCCGCACTAAGGCCCTAGGGTCGACTCAGCCTATAACAGAAATTAGTAACAGGAAACTTAATTTGGGTTAAAGGACGGTCGGAGCGTAAGGCTGACAACCTTACCGCCATCTGTGAGCCGACCCTCTAGAGAGCCTCGACGTCTCATATCCCTATGGGCCTACAGAGCCTGTTACAGGGATAACATTACCTTTCATGTACTTAAGCTTGCTTTATCTTTGGGCTAATATTGTATTATAAAAACAGATGTTATATTCACATAAAAGATGTAGAGGTGACTATAAAGAAGATTTGGATTGAAGAATTTATTTGTTAACTACTTATATATTCCTCATAAGTACAAGTAATTTCAACACCACCGGTAACCTCCACATTTCACAAATCACCACAATATCCTCTAAGCTTTTTTTCAGGCTGTCTTCACAAGCCTTTGCCTAGCAACGGTGTCTAACAATGGAGATTCTTCAGCTTCACGCGCTCGGGTTCTATCTTCACAGCCTCCCGTAGAGACCTACCTGACAACTGACTTTGTTCCTTGCTTATAATATCTTGGCACGGACCATGTGAAAACACGCCGTCTTCAACAGCATTTCTGTTGTTACGTCCGTCGTTGTCACGGGAACGTATTTACCAAACCATGGTCCAGAAACGGCCTCTGTTACAGATTAATCACTTGGCAATTGGTCAATATGTCTACTGAAGAAAGCTGTAATATTCAGTGCCCTAATGGAACATCCTTTCATCGTATCTCCCCTTATCATCTCATTATGCAGACGATAGAACATGTGTATATGCTCTCAGAGCACAGGAGAGTACAGTTCCTTCAGGAATGAATATATTGAGTTCGTAGGATTAGAATGCGACAGCGCATCAGCTACTTATAGACTTTAAGAGAGCCTGTGATTCCCTCATTAAGTTAGGTTAAACAGGAAACTAGTTAAGAGGAGGTATCAGGTTTGAATCTTTTCCAGGAAACATGCTACACTGACTGAAAATTTCCGTGGCCCTCCTCAGCGCCCCCAGGAAAATATCGAGCTATTTTGATTGCGTCAAGAGTACTTCCTTCCTTTCAAATTTATACATCGTTCCACTCAACACTATGCGGGGGAGAGTCAGTAAGTAGGGCACAAATTTTGTATAAAACGTAAAAAAATGTGATAATCAGACATGTGGAAAAACATTTATTTCTCGACATATTCTCAGTGCGTCGAAACCCGTAGCATAGAAGTCTTTTGTGTTGACTCAACCACTTCCGCACTTGGTCGGGCATCATCCGCGAATTTCTAACGTCCTTCAGAGGATTTCTCAAACCCGTTGTGAAACATTTTACGCGACAAAGACTTCTCAAAATAAACAGGAAATTTTTCTTTATTAATATACTTTACATTGATTCCTTTTTCCCACAAAAGACGGACAACAGAAGGTTTCTCTTAGGTAGCACACATCTCAAGCACTGTCGCCATTTTGACTACTAAAATCAGCCTCTGAATATCTGCACGCACGTCTGCTACCTAGACTCATGATGCTGGACTGTACTGCTACCTAGTGATACACATAGAAAACCTATTACGGCAATTACAGCTGTTTTACTTCCGTTTGTGACTTATTTAATGGCTCTTGATTGTAATTATCTACAAAGAGCATCATAAAATCACCCAGAGAAAGTAAGCCATCAATCCATCTCTTCATCCATCCATCCGCCCGCCCATGCACCCACCCACCCATCTATCTATCTATCTATCTATCTATCTATCTATGGCTCCACAGCCCTTTATTGGGCTTTCGCCGCTTTTTCAGTTTCTTGATCTTTTATAGAGCCGGTAGGACTCCTTGGACGGGGATCAGCCTGTCGTAAGGCCGCTGCTTACAAAGAGGATGACACAAACATAGAGTAAACGCACACAGACATCCATATCTTGAGTGGGACTGGCACCCACGAACCCACTGTTCGAGCGGATGAAGACAGTTCATGCCTTAGACCGTGCGGCCTCTGTGCTCGGCAGAGAAAATTAATTACTTTGATTACATAAAATGTGTTTAAATCAAAACAATAATTAAGTCAATATACAGTATATGTGACAGCTATTAGAACCTTCGAAAATTGGATAAATTTAAAATGTTTGGGAAAGACAAATCAAAATTGTATTCGTGAATAAATTGAGAGCAGATTAAATTCTGTGAAGGGCCGCGCCATAGCTCAAGCGGTTAGTCGCTGGCTTCCCACCGCGGCGGCCCGGGTTCGATCCCGGGTCTGGTCAAGTGGAATTTGTGGTGGACAAAATGGCGCTGGGGCTGGTTTTCTCCGAGTACTTCGGTTTCCCCTGCAAATCTTCATTCCGCCAAATTCTTCATCATCATAATCAGCCGGGGTAGGCTACAATAGGCCAATCAGTGACCGCCGTACTGAGTGGACCCAGTTGGACTCCACCCCCCACTAAGCGAATTAAAAAAACATTAAATTCTGTGAAAGTTTTCTGTCATTGAGTTCAAGATGTTTTGTCTTCCCTTCTGTTATCTAACGATGACCTTTTCTTCAGAGTCCTCACACAGCTTGAGCTCCACATCCCCTTTCCGAAACACGGCACACTTGTTACGCTTTCTGCCCTCAAGCCCTATGCTCCGTTACTGCTCTGGGCAGGCGATTTGCTTATGTCAGTTGCACGTGTTTCGTTTGTGCTTCTGACGGAATTTTCCAGTTCATACTATTTCCCCCATCTTCCTTTCGAATATTTTCGCGTCAAACAGGGTCTCTTCTTCCGTGGGAACCGTGTAACCGTCACTGAGCACCCCTCAAGTTAGGAAACCAGTGTCACGTTTTATAGCGAAGGCTGTTCATTGGGCGGCATTCAAATGGAGTGAATTAAAGAGGTGAGTGGTAGACATCATGACCTGTTAAAAATTACTATCTTGTAAAAGTTCTGATGTCCAAGTACTGCAGCTAGTTGACCGGCTCACTTTCGAACCCGCGACCTCCTATATACAAACAGAATACATCACGGTTGAGCTGTCAATAGGTGAAGGATAAAGCTATTATCAGACTCTAAATAATTGGGTAACGAACTAAATCCATGGAGCAGAGCAAAGCTAACAGTTGGACAGCTATCCAAGAAATTCCTCCCGTTATATGAAACTGAAAGTTTCATTACCGTATTTAAAATAGCCCGTCACCGACCCTTATCCTGAGCCAGACGAATCTAGTCCACATGATCTCACAACATTTCTTTAAAATGTCTTTTATTATTATCCTCCCGTCTATGCCTAGGTCTTCCAGGTAGTCTCTTTCCGTTATGTTTTCCTATAAAGCTCTGTTAGCAGTTTTCGTCGCTTTAATAGGTGCCCTTACATGCCCTATCAATCTCACCCTCTCCTATTGGACAGGCGTACTAATATTTGGCCAGGAGAACAAATTACATAGCTCCTCGTTATGAAGTTTCCTCCAGCAATGTATAAGCATACAGAATATTTTATTTGAGCGTCCCGTTGCGTTAGTCGAGCTCTTCCTGCTTCGTACATACAGACATGCGCAGTGCAATGTCCAAATGCAACTGCCCAGAATACTGGTAAATTCACGGCACAGACTTTTTTTCTATACAAATTCACGACATGTTTCGGCCTTGAGACAAGTATGATGTGTAAACTGAAACCCTCTGCTGCAATACAGTATAGCCCATAAAGCCTCTACGCCTTGAAGCTTATTCTAGAGACTAAGTTTCCTGTTAAAATAATTTAACCTTTTAGATAACATTAAGTGATTTGTTGTGTGCCTTAATGCCTTCTTCATGCTCTGTTATTTGCAGCGATGTGTACGGTGTATCCCAAAAGTCATGGTGGGGTTTCAAATGATTAGATTGTTGGAATGAAGCAGGACAGACACATGAACTAGTGGAGAGGGAGGGCAATATTGCGCGCGCAACATATCCGCTCACTCACAGAGTGACTTACACAAGATGGCGACGGTTCAAAGGAAAGTTCAGTATGTGTTGTGGCTTGCAAAATTTGAACCTGTGACTCAAGTGCGACCTGAGTACCGTCGTGTGTTTAACGACTAACTACCCCACAAAAATAGCATTCGTCTTTGGGACAGACAGCTGAAAGAGACCGGAAAAACAGCGTTTTGGAACTATTTAATTCATGTTCTGTCTCTGTACCATATTCAGTTTAATAATAGTATGAAACCTCATCCTGACTTTTGGGACACACTGTACTTCGCGGATGTTAACTTTGTTTCTTACGCTGTGGTAGCGTGTGTGTGGACTACATTCTGGTGATAGTCAACGAAATTATTGTGGTGATTCAAACAATAACCTGCCAAATTTCATTTGAAAACTATACTGCATATATAGTTCTACAGAAATGTTGGGGGTAAACATCCTGGAAATGTCACTTCCGAAACTAAACGTGGGAAGACAATATTAATACTAGCTTTCTGGGAGGCACGTTTTGAAGATCAGAGGTGGATGAAAACGGCTTAGATTTGTATCCAGTTGTGGTCTTTTGTATTATCAGCAATGTTGTAATGATCATTATATCAACAGGAATATAATGATCGGTTAGAATAAGTCTGTAAAACTACTTACGAAAGCAAGCCTTGTTATGTAACTGGTTACATTCGAAAGCAAATAAGAAGTTGAAGGTTTTAAATACGTACATTGTGGGTTGCATGTCGTGGGTGTATCAACATTCATTATAATTCTTTATTCTTTTTAACGTAACCTTCATAAACATGGTGACTTTAATGTAATATTCACAGTCAGCGTTTTCTGAAGTTTATTCGCCATTATACGCAATGCAGATAGATGCATATTTATGAGTTACTAGTCTACATACCCCATTATTATGTTTCTGTTAGGTTCAACATACAACGGTTCCTGTTACCATACTTTTTAAACCATACACAATACTCTAACCGCAGAAAAATTATGTATGATTCGATACATCGTCCTAAACAGAATTTTAAACATGTGAAGGAATTCGATTTAAATCTTGCTAATCTCTACACGGATTCCCATTCGCGAATGGGTTTCGGATAGATTCGGTAGCAATAGGAGTTGCTTTATCTTAAACATCAAATAAAGAAGCTAGAATGGTTTCTGTTTTTCCTGCATCAGTAAACGAAGAGAAATATATTTTATCTAAATTAAATTCATTTAAACCACTCCTTATTTTGCTAAATGTTAGCGGAATGTTGCCTTCTCTGAGTACGTATTCTAGTCCCTGGAAATATCAGCTGTACAACTTGTTCTCCGCAGTCACTTTCTTATCATACATACCCCTCATTATAATGCAATTCATTGGAATATACAAGTATTCAGGAAACCTAACCTTACTGACAGTTATCATATTTCAGCTTGCAGCTTACTTTGATGGAATGGTAAACATGGCGTACTTTATTTACCATAGAAAACGCTTATTGGACTTGTTCTATTTAACTGAGAATAAATTCAATCCATTTATGAAGGAAGTTGGTACTCCTGAAAAACAGATAGATATAATTGGGAGAAACAAAAAATTCGAAAGAAACATCACAACTGTAGCTATGGGAGCTTTCCTTGCAGACATGTGCACGTGGTGTGTCTTGCCTTCTATTGTGAGGTATTTGGATTATTTTCGAGAAGAGAATCTCGAAGCTGAGGAGCATTTAGAATATTTCATCCTCGTTATGTGGCTGCCGGAGAATGCAGCTACGTTTCCATTCTACGAAATGCTACATATTTTCCAGTTTCTTTCAGTTTGGGGGGTTGTAGCGAATTACGCTGCTGGTAAACTGATAATTGTTTCATTGTTTTATCACCTCTCAGCCCAGTTCCGTATTGTGTCTTCAGCTATTGAAGATATAGACGTTCTGTGTAGACCCGATCTAGCAGAGGACGAATGTCACACATTCTCGGAAGAGACGACACGGAATATTGCAGATACAAATATTTCTTCATGTAGCTCCACTCTTGATGATAAAGAGAGAAGTAATTCGATTTTATATTTGTCTGAAATGGGAACACAAAATCCTGCCTTAAGAGGTTACACCTCAACAATTGACGCTACTAAAATGATGGCAAGATCGTCTTCTACAGTTCAAGAATTCAGCAGTGAAGTTACTTACCTTATCAAGTGCATCAGGTATCATCAAAATCTACTCAAGTGAGTATGTTATCAAATTCTTCTATGCAACTGAAATCTCAGGCTGTAAATTTTTTCTTCCCTGTCCTATTCTAGTTAGAATTTTTGTAACCTAATATTCAGGAGTAGCGCAAAAATACATTTAATTCTATCTATCTATCTGTCTGTCTGTCTATCTCTCTCTATATATATTTGTCTCTCTATATATAACTTTTTATCTGTCTATCTATATATTTATTTGTCTATGTATCTATCTATATATCTGTCTATCTATCTATATATATATATTTGTCTCTCTATCTATATATATATATATATCCGTCTATCTATCTATCTATCTATGGCTCTACAGCTCTTTGTTGGTCCTTGGCAGCTTTTTCAGTTTCTTAATCCTATACAGTCGGTAGGACTCCTTGAACTGGGGATCAGCCCGTCACAGGACCGCTATCTACACACAGGACAACATAAACACAAAATAAACACACACAGACATCATGCCTCAAGCGGAATTAGAACCCGCGACCCCAGTGTTTGAGAGGGCGAAAACATTTCATGCCTTAGACTGCGCGCCCGCTGTCATCGGAATTTAATTGAAACTAAATATTGTGAAAAAAATTGTCTTATTATAGCTTAACGATTAACGTATTAGATTTCGACAGTCTACTGACCGCATGCCTGAAGACTGATGGCATGATATACATCCCTGATTCTATTGTAATTTTTCGTACTAACTCGCAGCAGAATCATCACACTTTTCGAGGTTACTCTTATATATGACAAATGCTGTCTTCTGGGATATGACGCCATGTAGTCAGAAGTTCGCTGACGTTTCCGAGGAACATGTTGCCTCCAACTTCATGTTCAAACACGAAAGTACATGTTACATTTAAGACGATACTCACACGTATGTACAGCGCAACTTTCGTATACTGGTTGATATGACTGTTATTACGTTTATGTTACTTGAAATTTCTCTCTGTGTTTAGGTGGAAGCACACAATATATATTGATTGATCTTTCTTTTCAGGTTCTGTGTTGAAGTAAACGATTTTCTGAGTAACGTCCTTTTGTTTGATCTGATAATATTTCAAATTTTAATGTGTCTTCCACCTCTTCAGTTGATTTTGGTAAGTATGCACTTAATTACTCATTTATAATTTTATGTTTAATACTGCGTGTATATTCAGAATATTACGAATTACTTTCTTTAAAATACAATTTGGATGAACCTACACTTCACCCTTCCCTCTTGTACGTATGTGGCCCCAAACTGTTCTTTTTTCATCCAGTGCACTAACACGAAACAACCCTTTGAAAACAAAGTACGTAAGAGTTTCTAAAGGAAAGCAACTGCAAAAACAGCGGAAACTTTTAAGATTCTTGTACTTAAATGCCTTACTGCTGCCTAGGACTTAGCATTAAGGTATTTAAGTCCTGCGAGAGCCACAAGCAATCAAGGTTTTCATCAGTTTTCCTCTGTCCTGCAGCGAGTGCTGTCAGTCTGCAGCATGTTCGCAGGAAAGCCGCTGAAGGCGCCACTTAACAGCTCACATATACGCAAACTGCACAGTCTGAAAACAGATGGACGGCATGTTACAGCCTTACACATACTAGTCTGGCTCGCGAGTCCGACTCGGCTCGCGTTCCAATGAGCTAAACTCCTCCGTGTGTGGGTCGCCACGGTCATATGTGTGTGGTGAAATAAATCCGAGCTGGACTCGAGAGCCAGACTCGTACATGTATGGGCCACCTTAATAAAAATCTTTACCTCTCTATGGCTCTACAACCCTTTCTTAAGCCTCATCCGTTTCTTCAGTTTATTAACCCTATACACAGTTGGTAGGACTCCTTGGGCGGGGGATCAGCCCGTCGCAAGGCCGATACCTACAACACAAACACGGAATAAACACACACAGACATCCATGCCTCAAATGGAATTCGAACTCACGAACTCAGTTTTGGAGCAGGCAATGGAAAGTTCATGCCTCAGACCGCGCGGCCACTGTAATGCGCTCTTAATAAAAACACAGAGCGCATATTCAATGAAGTTATTCAGTGGCTGTAGTGTGATCTTCATAGCACTTATAACAAAATGTAAGCAAGCTTTACACTATGTAAGCTTGTAAGCACTAGACGCATTGTCTGCAGTTCTCTGTTTACTTCATTACGATTATCTGCTTGCTGTTGAACAATGTACAACTCATCTGCGGGCTTAAACAGGGGGGGGGAGAAGCGCTTGGATGTTTCACAGTGTATTTATATCGTTATCCTTACGACGGGGCCTAAAATTTAATTTCTCTTCCCCTGTTGAACGAACAGATCGCCTCTCGGTGAGGACAAAGAGCGAAGTTGCTCTTCTGGTGAGGGTCTATGCTTCTTACAATGCATAATGCACTCGGCAGAGTAGTTGGTTGAGGCACTATGCTAAAAGCCGGAAGGTTGCGAAATCGAATCCCGATGAGGTGGAATTTTTCAATTTACTAATCCTTCCAGCCGCATTATGGCCCTGGGGTCGACTCAGCCTTTAACATAAATGAGTACCAGGAATCTTCCAAAGGGTAACGGGCGCCCGGCGCGTAAGGCAGACAACCTCACCGCCATCTGTGAGCCGATTTTCTTGAAACTGTGGGAACCTCGACCTTTCAGAACCCTATGGGTCTCCACGGCCTGTTACAGGGACAGCTTTACCTTTACCTTATTATTAAAAAGGATAATATCGGACGGTAAGAGGTAAAGTTGTCCCTGTGCTTAACTAATTAAGCACTACGCTGTGAAGGCGTACGGGGGAGTGGATCTACAGATCCATATATTCTTGACCTCGGCACTAACTGGAGGTGAGTGGTCAGCTTCACGCCCCTGCCGCTTTACCGTTGGGAAAACAGTCCCGGTTCCCATTGGATAGGAGGCTGGGTGGGCTCCAGAGCAGGTAGAGACGATTTGGAGAAGAGAAAATTCTTGACCTTACCGGGACTCGAGCTCCGACCCCGTCGCTATACTGACTACTTTACCCCAACTCATAATATTGGACGGTTATAATATAAATCTTAATGATGTTAGTGTAAAGTAATAGCACTTAAAGTGACTGATACATTATAATTAAAAACGTCACAATATAATCCATGTGTTCATTTGAATAATAGGAATCAGGTGTTACCAGCCTCGCGCACTTGTAACTTTTATTTCTCAGTAACATTAATTCACTTCTTCGCAACAAGTGGCTATAGTTAGTGGTTAATTTTCATTCCGGAGTACAACGCACACAATGCAAATTTTGGACTTCTCATATTATTTTTAATTATTGCAGTTTATTAGGAAAAACTTAAAATTGAACATGTCAAACACTAAAAGAGACAGGCATATGGATCAAATTGGCGATTTTTGTGTCTCTAAACTTTATTAATCGCAGAAAAGTAAAGCTATCCCTGTAACAGGCCGTGGAGGACCATATGGTTGTGAGACGTCGAGGTTCCCAAATTTTCAAGGCATTCGGCTCACAGATGGCGGTGAGGTTGTCAGCCTTATGCGCCGGCTGCCCTTTACCCCCCAGGAAGGTTCCTGGTGCTCATTTCTGTTAGAGGTTGAGTCAAGTCAACCCCAAGGCCATAGTGCTGCTGGAAGGCTTAGGTCAATTGAAAAATCCAGTGACCTCATTGAGAATCGATCCCGCGACCTTCTGACCTTCCTTCTACACAGGAAACTCATATTTTGGGGTCCCGAAACTTTTGTGGGGGGAGACACGTAAACTAAAGAATATCTGATTTTGGATTGTCTAACATCTTCTCAGGGAGGTCCTGTAACATCATGTCAGATTGGGTCGAAATGGTTGCTGTAGTGTGGAAATGTGTGGAGAGCAGACAAATAAAATACACGCTCCTCTTTATACTCACGTCTGAGAGATGCTAATAATACTGCATTATTCTCTCATTGTTCTAGGGCCAGAACGTCAGCATGCTGAGGTTTGTTTCCAGTATTGTTGACACGGGAATCTGGCCGTTGTTAATCTGTTTCTGGGGTGAAGCATTATCTAACCAGGTGAGTTCGTATAATTGCATACAAACACTGTTTTATGAAATGAAGCTTCGTATGGCTCTCAAGCTTCACAGAGCAGAGCCTCTCGTGAGAAGATAATTTTCCAGATTAATAGCAACGTTTTGGAGAAAATTTCCTCTCCATCTTCAGTGCAAAAGCCTGAGGAACTTAGTAGGTTCTTCCGGAACTCAGGTACCTATATGACAAATAATGCCATGTACCAGAAACCGTAATGTTGGAGAAAGATACCACGAGAGCTTCAAATTTCTCTCTTTTCGCCTTTCCAAAAGCCCGCAATTTGGCCATATCCTGAGGCAGTTAAATCTAGTTTACACCTTCCATATTATTTCTGCAAGATACTACATTTTAATAGTATCATCTCGTCCTCTCCTAGCAGATCTAAGTGATTTTTCCCTTCGCGTTTTTGGACAAATATGTTTGTATTTCCTACTTCCCTCTTGCTTGTTAAATATCTGGCTCATCTCAACCTACTTAATGCTTCAAAGGCCAGTAATTCTATAGGTACCATTTACTTTAACAAACAAAAACGCTGCACACGCAGTGCAATTGTGTGTTTCGTATGGTTCTGCCAGTAAACATGTATTATTTCTCTAACAACATTAACAGTCTGGGCTTTCGTAACGGAAATATGTTTTTCCTGTGAGGTACGCAAAAAATAATATAGTATATTATTTAAAATAACATTACGTGTTGGATGATAAGTGCGACGAAAATAATTGGATTTATTACTACTTCTATTACAGTCTCTCCCTCTCTCTTAATTAGGCTTAGGCTTAAATTAGGCTTAAATTAATTAATTAATACAGCGCTATCGCTGATCTACACACTTTACAGTTCACCGTTACACATGCACAAGGGTTCTCAGTTTCCACTTGTCGTCTCCTGGCAGCGGATCTCAACACAGAAACTAGCACTAAAAATCACTGCGAAGTCTTCTTGTTTTCAATCACTCTGTACTCCTCTGTGCTCTATCTTCACAATTCACGCTCCATTCTCGTCCTTGTGCTCTCAACTGCTGAACCCTCCTGGACTCTGTCCTCCAGCTTACGTTTGACTCATAACTGCCTTCTTATATGTGTGCTTCTGTCCCTACTACTCACTCGTAACTGCCTTGAACGAATTCTGTCTCGGTTATGTATACAGCCACGAAACGGACATGGACCTACAGTAAACACATATCAGGTGATCGCTGTCCAGCCAGTCTATTGGCGCCTCGGTCGGATTTACAGAAAACACAGCTTCCTTTATTGTTGCGTGTTGTACCGTGTTTACAGAGCTGTTGCCTAGCAACGCATTAATCAAACCCATTACAATAGTTTATGTAAGATTTGAGGCTTTCACGGAGGTGACTATGAAGAAAGCAGTCTTCTGGGATTTGGCACCGTGTATATGTGGTGTTAACCGGCGTTTCGGAGGAACGTATCGCCTCCATCTTCAGGGTAGAAGAAAAATATAAGAAATCTGCAAAGCGAAGAAGCCGTGAGAAACGGTAAAAGCAGACTTTTTCCTCCGAAACGTCGGTTAACATCACATATACACGGTGCCAAATCCCAGAAGACTGCTTTCTTTACAATAGTTTATGTTTTTAATCGGTTAATAATGCTAAGAGTATTTAGTGTAAAGTCCAACAAATCAAATTCATCATTAAGTAATTTTATTTATCTCTCTTTTTTCCTCTCTCATAAATGCAAATATTCTCCCATTACTTTGCTGTCACGCAGCTTCAGTCCTTATTCTTCCAGTAGGGAGACAGACCGAGTTTCGCACCCGTATAAACCAACAGATGAAGTTATAATTTTACATTATAAGGCAGGAGAATTAAGGGTGAAATTATGAAAACTGAAAGGTAGTAAATATTTCATGAAATTAACCTTTTCCTAAGTAATTCATTAATGTAACTAAGGTTTGCTATGTCATTTGAAACGAGGACGTCTAACTCGCTGCACGCGGGCTGCTTACGGCCCGCTAGTTGTTTTCATGTAACCCGTAAGCGCATCCTTCTATCTCCCATCAACGTATCTCAATTTTGTGTACCTATTTTTAAAAACGGAAGCGAATTTTTACAGAAAAACACTTTGCAAAATATTCTAATATTTGTATGCCGTATTTTTAGCCTATTTTCCTTATTTTGAAAGAATAAAAAAAAAGTAGTTACTATAGGATTCTGACGATGGTGTATAACACACTGATATATTGGGTTTCTGGACTTTTTTTTTGTTATCTTAAAAACTAGGACGATGGATAAAGTTCAGAAACCCAATATATCAATAAAAAAAGGTTTATAAGCCCACTTGATGTCCTGTCTCTCTGTCTGTCTGTATGCGTATGTGCTTGTTTGTTTCACACTTGCTTAAAGAAGTAAAAAGAGAACGTGAGATCACCTTGTTATCTGTGTGTGTCTGTGTATTTCCCGTACTTTCTTTCGTTTCCTATGCAGTCCGTGTCGCATTAAAGGCAAATCGGCGATTAGTTTTTCCCAGAATTTCTTCAGGTATATTTTAAATTTAAATGTATAATTTTGACGTTAATGTTGAAGTTCTTGCGCTTGTCCTTGTTCTTCATAAATCATAGCACTTGTTACAAAATATCGGAAGGAATATACAGGGTGATTCTAAATTATTGTTTGTAGGCTACGGAAACCCCGACAATAATTTGTTTAATTTGTATGTTTAGATTTGGCCTTTCTCAACAAAGTGCATAGTAAATTAGGTCGATTTCTCTGAGTTAACGATTATAGGGTGTGGGGGGGGGTGTTATTTTCCGTCTCCCCACCCACAGTGCAGCCACGTTCTCTGTCCCTCTTCTTTCCATACTTCTCATGCACTACCTGGATGCCATGTACATAAGCACTGCCTGCACCTAAGGCACATATCAACACCTCAGGGGGCTGAAGCTGGAAGCATCTGCTTTAAAACTAAACTGGAATGTACGTATATATTTCCGTTGTTGCAGAGTTTGTCGGTACAGAGGGCTGCTTATGGGTGCAGCTGGTATAACCGCTCTCAGAGTCTGAAGAAACTCTTGCACTTCTTCATCATGCGCTCTAAGAAGCCTGTCAGAATGACTGCAGGAAAGTTCTACTACATCTCGCTGGAGACATTTGCTGATGTAATTATTCTATATAACATTATTTGCCTCCGGTCTAGAAAACCGAGATTAACGGCCGTAGGAATACTCGTACGTTGCGCCGACCACACGACATCCTCTATCCACTAAAGTTGGCAATAACTTAGCGGACAAGCGGAGGTCGCTGGGTCGGTATAGTTTGCTTGTGGACTATAGGCCACGGGGAAAGGAAAAGACACTATTTGCCGTACATTCTCGTACTAAATGCGGAAACAGTGTTATTAGTCTGATGTAGAAGCAGACCAACGTAGAGCATTCAACTGGCTTGTCCACTCACGAGGGACGCCAACAATTCAGTTCCTTCCTTGGTGTAATCATGAAGTGTCTCCGTTAAAAGCATTCATGAGGGCACGTTGCCGTCAGCGTCAACATATTTAGAGATATAGATATTGTCACGTTTGTAGATAATGTGAATATAGACGGGATTTGGATCCTTGATGGGATTCACTGAACTCTTTGATACAGCACGTGACTACATTTTACAGTTCACCGTTACATGCATATTAGTGTCCAGAGTCATTCTTTACTAACCGTTCCTTGGTAGCGGCTCACAATTGCGGACGTTCCCCTTCCTCTGGCTTCCCGAATTTCCCCTCTCCTCAGCTACCAGCATCTAACATCAACAGCTCATAATCTCACCAACAGACTTGCGGGTTTGTTGATGTGGGGCGCTCTCTCTGACGAGAGGACGGGTCTTCCGTTTACAGTTGCTGCTGGCCCTCGCCAGCGCAGTCATTCTAGGGTCCGAGTCCCGAGGGACTCGCGACCATATTTTACTGTCTCAGATTCGAGACTTCCCGTGTCGTCGCCTCCTGCGACTCGCAGGGTCACGTTGGGGGCATTCGGCCCCTCCTCCACACACGGCACGGACCGCACATAAGACACCCTTCCTCTGTTGCTGTATCCAATTTTTGCCATGGAAACACGCTTGTTTGCGAAGCTGTTACTTGGTAACGGAAGTAACGGCTGTTGTATATTTGATTATCTCGCGATCGTTGCCCAGTAAAGGGCCTGCACGTCACAATATGTTATTGATTTCGTTAAGTCTCTTATTGTATTGTGATGATTCCTAGCAACATACGACTTTGTTCCATCACGTTGCCTACCCAAGGCAACACCCATCCTCAGCAAAGTTTTTAACAAACAGCATGATCTGCAAGCTTTTCTAAAAATATCAGTCCCTTTATATTTTCCTTTCAATTCACATTGATCATCAGCATAAACAAGCGAGGGGAGATTGAAATACTTCATAACTAGAGTAGACAAATTCTTTAAAATGTTTACATTTACATTATGAACTCTGTAATTTTGATTGAGCAGTCCTGGAGTGAAACAAGAAACACGCTTCCTCTGTGTCTACACTGCCCCATCCTTACCTCTCTGACGCAGGTAGAAAAGTTTCAGCTGCAGCAAACAATTTGTATAATGAAGTTCCCCTTACCGTACTCATAGCATTAAGACGGTGTATAAATAACGTTTGTTTAACCATTTAAACATCGAGGTTTGATTACAGCGACATAGTAGTCGTAAATGGTTAACTGAAAGTGCCAAGAGATGGCAGCACACGTCTATTATCTGACGTTATCACGGCGAGAAGTTTTTAGAATGTGCTACAGAAGGCCGGATGGGCATTGCCTAGGCCACTTTTGTATCCTAGTTTTTTTTACCCAATAAAAAAAATAATCACGGCAATGGCTCGCCTCCGTGGTTCTGCGAGATAAAAGTGAACCGCCGTGCATTCGTGTCAATAAACCGCATGAGAGCGAGACACACCAGTCTTAAAGCAAGCCTAAATATTGTGGTGGACAAAGCGGCGCTGGGGCAGGTTTTCTCCGAATACTTAGGTTTCCCCTGCCAATCTTCATTCCACCAATTGCTCCACAATCACCTCACCTATCATCTGGGGCTGGTACAATAGGCCAGAAGTGGCCGCAGTAAAAGGGACTTAGTGCCACCCCACTAGCAATAAAAAAAGCCTGAACAGATTTAACTTTGTGGCCACGGCCGAATGCGAGTGTGCTGACGTGCTGCAAACGGAAGAACATATCTTCTGGGACTGTAAACTGTACGAGGACCAACGGACAACAGTGATGGCCATTTTGTCTGAGAACAGCAAAAAAGAATACCCCAAGTCAGTTGCAGAGCTTTTATGGTTAGAGGAAAACAGATTTGTGCAAGGCGTTTTTTTATTTCATAAACAAAATTCCTAAATTTCTTTTTTAAAAAACAAGACGTGTATGTACAAAATATTAATAGCATATTGTTGGAGTTGAGAGAGAGAGATTAAAAAATCTCTTGGTGACCGCTATGATGGAATTAGATATTTATAAGAATGTGCTACAGAGGGTCAAGTGGGCATTTCCTAGGCCTTTATGTACGAGTATATACAAGCTTTTTTAAAATAAAAAAAATCACGTCGGCGAATATTATGACTGCAGTGTCTTGGGATTTAAGGTCGTGTAGTCTGGTAAACGGTTACCAGCGTTTCGGAGAAACATACTGCCTCCATCTTCTGGGATGAAGAAGATTAAGGCAGCTAATTCTGCGGAAGTATTAGTATATAACTAGTAGACCCCGTGGTTTTCATCCCTTAATATCTTTAGCATATTATTGTATTCGATAATATTACAAACCAGCTAGATACAAGACAGATAGTAAAGACCTAATTAGAAACTGCGCATTACGTTCAGAGCACTGAAGTTGATAAATGTGTTTCGGGTGTCACGATAGTAACTTCGAGTGACTTGAAGAAGGTTAATAACTTGTCTTCATCATCAGTAATCTGTCAGACGACAGGTCCACAGTCCCTTCCAAAACAGTTCCTCAACTTAATGCCATCTAGAGTTTGTATTTGAGGTTGTTACAGCGGTGTCTGTAACAGTTCTATATTCTAGTATACACGTATAAAGCGACATATTCAACCTGCCTCTCAGAGGAACATTCGCCTCCATTTTCAGGGTGGTAACAGATAACAGTGTTCATATCGAGCAGGTTGGCGTAGCTGTAATGCTTTCGATTTGTTTTCGGGAAATGCTTGGTTCAAATCTAGCCGGGATACCGGTTATTCTGACTCAGGTCTTCCTCAGTCCGTCCCAGGAAAATTCCATGATATTACTTATATTAAGCCACGGACGCTCCCGTTCATATTTCATTCTACATTTCGGCGCTGTAGAGGCTGGAGAACTGATAATTTCGTAAATAACCCACAATAAAAAGCAGTGCTCAACTATTTATCTATATACAGGATGTCCGAAATATAATGGAGTGATTTTGGGAAACTTTTTTCAGAAAAATAAGAGGCATATTCCAGAAATTAATATTTTATTTTAAAGTCTACGTCAAATAATTTAGAATATGATCAGTAAGTTTGAATCATTGCACAGTTGGTAACCGTGCGCATGTCCAAACGCTATTCGTGTTCTTGCCATGTGCACTGTAACATATCTCGTTACCCGCACAATTGCTCTCTTATTCTTGTTTTCAGATGGTATAAAAATAATTATTTATATAGCCCAAAAATTAATATCAAGAGGTGTCAGATAAGGGCTTTCAGGTGCCCACAGAATCGAACAACCCTGTCAATATGTCTTCCAGGAAACTTTGCACTAACACCTTCCATAACATGTCTTGAGAAACCCAGCGGTGCGCCATCTTGCTGGTGGCTGCTCGTGAAAATATTTCAGTGGATCAGAAGATCACAGTGAGCGCGCGGTCTAAGACATGAACTGTCTTCACTCGCTTGATCGTTGGTATTGTGGGTTCGAATCCCGTATATGAGTTTATTCTGTGTTTGTGTTGTCCTGTGTGTAGATAACGGCCTTGCGACGGGCTGGTCGCTCGTCTGTGTAAAAGAATTACGGAAGTGATAAAAAGGCCATGGCCCACCAAATGGCTGTACAGCCATTGATGAATCAATGAAAAAAAAAAAATATATATATATATATATATATATGCAACATTCAGTGTCATGCCTTTTGTGTATTTGGAGACAGAGGATTCCGAAACTCTCCATTATTTATCGCAAGTTGTATAATTTATTCAACGAAGCTGTCAGTAGTTCAATATGTTAAGTGTCGAATATTGGTATGATTGAAGAAAAATTAATTGTAAAGAATATGGAAGTAATCTATCGTGGCATAATTTAAATTACTATCGAACATCTGGCTGAAGGGACTGAGGAAAACCACGAAAATTCAATATGTGTGCCAGCCGAGACTCAACCTGAAATTTGTTAGTTAAAAGACAGAGGGCTTTACTGCTTGAGCCAAGCTGCTCGGAAACAGAGCTGAATGTGGGTGACTAAGTTTTATAATTTTTCTCTTACAGATTGAAAACAAGGTGTACGCCTACTTCACACTGCTAAAGAACTCTACGTAATGAACTCGTTTATGAAATACGCCCAGATGTATTAAGGTAAATACACTCTGATCTAGTAAATATTGTACTGTCACGATTTAGGGGTGACTACAGACGGGGTTTGGATTTGTGAATGGATTTATTGACCACTTACACACACGACTTGGAATTACAAGCAGTTACGGAGCCACTTGTAATCTGCACACTTCACAAACCACCACAACACCCTCTAAATATTTTCCAACCTGCTGTGTCTTCGCCAACCGTTCCCTGGTAACTGATTCTAACAGTGCAGATTTTTCTTCTTCACGCGTTCAGGTTCCAACTTCACAGCCTCCCATGCAGAACTCAGTTCACTGTCAACTGAACTCGTGGCTCCATCTGTCCTGGTTATAACTTCTCGGCACGGACCATATAGAAAATACCGTTCTTCTATTGTTGTGTTCGTATATGTTGCCGCGGGAACGTGTTTACCAAGCTGTTGTCCAGACTTTTTATTTGGTTATATAAGGTAGTTAATACTGTGAGTATATACATGTTGTCCTATTAAAGATTTGAGCGGAACATTCCATGTTATGTAGTAATATGGCCAATGTTTCTTAAAAGATTATAATATTCATCATGAATTATAAGAAATGGAAATATGTGGAAGTTATCATTTTAAAATATATTGTCCTTAGATATGTGGCATACCATGAAGCACTGTATCCCTGTGAGTGTCCAATGAAATAAAAATGTGACATATATATTTATTTATTGATTGAAAGTTTTCATTGTTATATATAAATTACAGGTACAACGGATGAATGACGGAACATTCTAAGCGCACTATTTTCTGTGATGTGATACCATGTATTCTGTTACAATTCTACCAGACTGTACTGTGTCACATCCAAGTCTACGCCACGGAAATATAGGTGTCAGCAATTCTGACAGGTACAGTCTGTGGTACATGAATACTGCGGTATTCTGGATTTTAATTGCATGCAGTAACGGAGAGAAAAAGACGTTTCGGAAGAACATCAGCAGGGTCGACGAACTCATCATAGTGTTCTTCGTGAAACCCATAAATCCGACATCAGCCTCTCAGTTGTTGTCGTCACTGTTATTATTATTATTATTATTATTATTATTATTATCATTATTGTTGTTTTATTCCCAATTCTTGTCTCTAAAGATTACCATGTAACTTAACACCTTCAAGAAAAATAAATTTTAGTGTACATGAAGTGCCACGTCAGTATTTTCAGGTATATGGGTGACTATAGAGGGGGTTGGATTTGTCATTGGATTTACTGAACACTTACATATCGTAGTTACAAATAACTGTAGCGCTATCGCTAATTCATGCATTCAAAAGTTCATTACAGCACGTACTAAGTCTTTTCAGTGGCCGCGCCATAGCTCAAGCGGTTAGTCGCTGGCCTCCCACAGCGGCGGCCCGGGTTCGATCCCAGATCTGGTCAAGTGGGATTTGTGGTGGACAAAGTGGCGCTGGGACAGGTTTTCTCCGAGTACTTCGGTTCCCCTGCCAATCTTCATTCCACCAATTGCTCCACAATCACCCTCACCTATCATCTGGGGCTGGTACAATAGGCCAGAAGTGGCCGTAGTACAAGAGACTTAATCCCACGCCACTAGCAATAAAAAAAAACCTTCTCACTTCTCCGTTTCTTCACCAATCGTTGTCTGGTAACGGCTTTCAACATCGTATATCCCACAACTTCCTTTTTCACGTCTTTACTGGCCGGCGACTGTCTCACAACTCACTCCTACTCTTTTAAGGGCGGGTGTACACCAAGGAATCTGGCAACCGCAAAGCAACCGCAATTTCCGAGATCAGCCTGAGTTGAACACATATTACTGAATGGAGCAGCGCAAATTGAGGAAACGGCAATGCAGTTTCCTCAATTTGCGCTGCTCCAGTCAGTAAGATGTGTTCAACTCAGTCTGATAAAAATTCTTGGAAATTGCGGTTGCGTTGCGTTTGCCAGATTTCTTGGCCTGCCCTCGCGCTAACTGCCGTCTCAAGACTCTATTTTAACCGCAGCCGCTCCTCGTTATATAGTCTCTGCACGGATCGCATAGAAAACAGCCCTCTCAACAGTGCTTCCACTGTTGCGTCACTTGGCTATTGCTCGGATCACATAGAGAACACCATTCCTCTGTTGATGTTGAAATTGGAGTAATAATATGCGGTGAAAACGGTAGGTTATGACTGTTATAATTATGTAATTTTCTCCATTCTCCTTCTACCCCTTATCTCTCTTAACTTCAACTATTTTTCTTACCGCCTTGCTCCGAAATATGTGTCTCCTACCTGCAGACATTTACGACACGACATTTAAATAAAACTCTCACGTATTCAATTAGGTTTAAGCTCATCCCGTTAATAAGGAGCAGCCTACTGTTAACACTTAAGAAGGAAGAGAGACAGTGGGCTTTCCTGGTATATGCATACACCCATGTAATTCACAGAGTCAGTTTTTTCATAGAAATGTTTGAACACGGTAACCAACAAAGACTACTTCCTGTGGGATGCAAAGCATTATATTCTGGTTGATATTTATCTGACCGCCTCTGAGGTCGAATGGGTAAAGGTCCTGGTTACAGATCCAGAGGTCCTGGTTTCGATTCCTAGAGCAATCAGATTTTCTGAGAAGTACTGGGTCTGGAATCGGGGTCCACTCAGACTCGTGAGGATAACTGAGGAGCTATTTCAAGGAAATAACGGCTCCGGTATAGAAAACCGAGATTAACGGCCGTGTGGAACCGTTGCACTGACCACGTGACACCCTCTCTCTGCTAAAGTTGGCACTAACTTAGCCGACAAGCAGCGATCGCTCTGTCGGTATAGTTCGTTTGATGACTACAGACCATCGAGTTTGTTTGTTTGTTGATATTTAGTTACTTTGCCAGAATTTCTTGCTTCCATCTTCCGGGTAAGAGAGTAAACTGAGAATTAAGGAGTGTGAAATTGATAAGTGGGTGTGAAGGATCGTTATTTGAGTTATGAACAAACCAGGGAAAGTACAGAGACCAGAACGTAGTTCAATGGGCAAATAGCTTCCCTTCGTATTACTGACCAGCAGAGAGGTGCCTGTAGAGAACCGAACTAAAGGCAACTAAATATGGAATTACGTGACTTAAATCAGCCCAACAGAGTATTAAGATAGTGTAAATACACTTAAGCAACATCGGACCCTCAGCGTTACAAAATTAATTCCCTAGAACCCGAGCCACCAAAGAACCAGGAACGCTACCAATAGTAATATGAGGAGATAAGATTGGGTCACGAAGTCTGAACCTCCTCCTTAATGGACCCCTCACCCCAGATTATACTTCCCCTTTATGCGGATATGACTTTCCAGAGTGGTTAGCGCAACATAGTTTCAGCACCCCAAGGCGAAACAGTAATTGATAGTAGTTGGGGTAGGATAACAGACCACAACATAACAACCATCGTCAGGAACGATCCATGTTGTGTTTACTCTCAAGGAATATGCTCTTATGTCAACGCCGAACGTGCGATCGCATCGTTCATCATATTAACCCTGACAGTGGAGAGATATAGTCTCCGAAACATGTATACTAACGCCGTGTTCACACGATTAATAGCCCTAAAAGATGGTACTGCCTATTCTTTCGGTGAGAGACGGAAACCCCCTGTAGAAATAGATTGTTTTAGTTTCATGAGGTGGGGTGAGACTGAGTCCACTACTGGCCTACTGTACGAGCCCCGGATGTTAGATGACGAATGTGGAACAGCTGGTTGAATGAGAATTGGCAGGGGAAACAGAGGTGCTCGGAGAAAACCTGCCCCAGTGCCTCTTTGTTCACCACAAATCACACATGAAGTAACCTGGGCTCAAACCAGGGCCGCCGCGGTGGAAAGCCGGAGACTAACCGCCTGAGCTATGTCAGGTCATGACTGTAGATATAAGTACATATATATGTTACCTTAAATTTAAACTTTCCCTGTGCTTAATCAACTGAACACCACACCATGAAGACCAATATGCGAGCGGAAATATATTTCCACCGCTCTTGACCTCGGCACTGGATGCAGGTGAGTGGTCGGTATGACGCTCCGGCCGCTTGATCCTTGCAGGAGACAGCCACCGGCACCCAATGGGTAGCAAAATGGGCGGGTCCCAGGGTCGCAAAAATTAATATAAATCTAATGGACGTAAAATTCTGACAGCTGTGACACTGAGGAGTAATATCTTCTGGATTGTGACGGCTTATATAGATCATAGAGTTTCGGTGGCATGTATTACTTCCAGCTTCATGGTAGAAAAGTATTCTGTGCAAGAAACGTTTCAAAACATTGGCAAACTTCTACCAGAATATACAGCATCACAGCCAAGAAGAGAGATGTCTTAATATAAATATTGTGATGCATTGTTAGCAACGGTTAGCTAAACACGTTCCCGAACGTTACGCTGCCAATGAGAATAGATGTCCGTTTCTGGGCAACGGGTTCGGCTATCACGGTGTTACACGTGAATCCGGCACAACGAAGACATGAACAGTAACAAGATAATCCTTGGAGGCGGTGATCTCTATTTGGTTTTCTTGCAGTTGTAAAAGGCAGTGTATTCGTCAGTATCCGAGCGCATGGTCTGCTGTTCTGAGCCTGGACTGACAGAGACCCTGTATATATTTTGTATACAATTATTACCATGTTTAACATGTAAAATATAAATATCCTTAGATTATGACAAATGGCTTACTACTGTAGACAATGACTCTGACAAAAGACAGATCCGTCCTCTCATCAGAAAGGGCGCGGCGCAAAAACAAGACCGTAACTATTAAACAGTAATAAATATCTGGCCATAAGCCCCACATGGACCTCGACTCCAAGACTCACTGCCTGACTGAATGACCGCTAGTCGCAATGTGAGTATGACTTTGAATATTTGAGGATTATTCACTAGTTGAGATGTTACCAATTAATGACTACTAAGCGGACACTGAAGACTTTATTTCATGTATTGTAGTTACAATAATCTTTT